CTTTTCTTGGTCCTCCCTAATCCCAGCCCCCAACACGGTTGCTACCTTGGCCCACCCACCTCGCCATTGCTAGGAGAGTCTCCGTTCCCGAAAGTGCTGGTTACCACCAGGAGCAGCCGCTCTTCTTCCAGTTGGCTCAGCTTGTACTCGTCCATGCACAAAACCTGGGCAACACCAAGGGTGGACATCAGCCCTCAGCTCCCAGGTCAACTCCCCGACTTCCCTACCAGCAGGGAGCCCTTCCTCAGTAGGGAAGTGTCCCCAGTGTCCAGACAGATGTGGCACAGAGGATGAAATGCTTAACAGATCTCCTGTGAATGAACTTATTTCCACAAGCTGATTCTCCTTCCTTTTCAAATCCCACAGCGAATATGCCAGGGTGTTCTGGTGCCTCATTTTCAAAATACTGCAGCTTCCAAGTTATGACCCATTCTCTACTTTCATTGCTAATTAAATTCTGACACATTACCTACAAACTTGGCAGGTAACAAAAATGATTCCTTTGTTGCCTCTGGAACTCAAATGCTTTGCCTGGAGGTGACCCCAGGTGAGGGTGCCACATCACACTGCCTTCTCAGGACTGAGGGGTGTGACTTGCCTAACTGGCTGGGAAGGTGAGCCTCCCAGGAGCCTCCAGGTAGACTTGGCACCGTGAGACCTGTTCAGACCTGGTAAGCCTTGCTGCTGCTGCTGTTAGTATCCGAGTAGATTCCAACTCATGGCAACCCATGCGTGCAGAAAGGAACTATGTTCTATTGGGTTTTTGAGACTGTGACCTTTTGGGAGCCGATCACCGGGCCTGTCTTCTGAGGTGCCTCTAGCTGGATTTGAACTGCCAACCCTTCAACTAATAGTCAAGTCATTAACTGGTTAAGCCACCAAGGAACTCCTTAACCTTACTGCTGGCCATTCCTCACCCTTCTTCCTAGGCCTCTGTCTCCCTCCAGCGTAGATTACAGTCCATCCTGTCTGACATCACACTGGTCTGCACTGTGCCTCAAATCAAGAAGCTGGCTTGGAAAACTCACTTAACCTATGGCACTAGGGTTCTTCAACTGCCAAATACCAGCCTCCAGAACAACTCTTTGTCTTGCAGGCAGGGTTGCTGGGAGTTCCCATTCCTGCTTCGTCCTGAGTCTGTGTTACTCACTCCTGTGTCCTCAGAGCCCAGAGCTGGCCCAGCACATGGTTATTCCCAAGGAGCATGGCTTAGTTCTCCTTGTGGATATTGTTTTGTCTGTATCCTATTCATCTCTGGCCCCCTTCACATTTAGTGCCCAGACCTATAAAAGGGGTCCAATAAAGGTGAATCAAGTCATCTAGAGCAACTCAGGTGTGTTGGGGTTTGGTTGCATTAGGATAGGGTTTCTCAAACTGTGCTCCCTGGAATACCAAGGAAATCATATGTCGTGTGTTCAGTCAAGTGTGGGATCCCTTCCATTGCAGACTTGCAATGCATGTCATCACAATTGAGGCTCCGAGACGCCCAGGAGCAGACAAACAATCTTAAGTTTCCTTGCTCACAGCTTGCCTTGCTTCTCTGCACACAGGCAGGGGGCATGACACCCATCAGACTCAGCCAGGTACCTTGGAGTTGAAAGCGCAGCTGAACAAAGCCCCCAGGTCCCGGGCCAGCGTCTCTGATTTTCCTGTTTCTGTTGCAAAGAGGATTGTGACTTTGACTCGTGACGCCGTGACTTTGTACATCAGCACTGAGGTGAAGAGCACGGCTCTATGGGGACAGACAGACAGACAGACAGACATGGTGTACTGAGAGCCTTCCAGAAGAAAATGGGGAGTAGGAGAATAGGAGTCCTGCTGCGGTGCTGGATAAGCACTGGACTGCTAACCGCAAGGTTCTCACCCATCAACTTCTCCTCGGAAATCCTATAAAGGGTCGATACGAGTCAGAACCGACTGGACAGCATTTAATAACAGCAGCAGCAGGTTTAAAATGTGGCCAGTTGGGGAAAGAGTGGCCAGCGTTTCTCTCCAGGGTCTGCCCTGACTAACAGCCCTTCTCCGCCCCTCACCTGTAGACCACTACTCAGACCCTTTGGGAGAATGGAGGAGTGAGATGGTGGGCCGCCAGGAGCTGATGACTCGTAGAATTGGTATCCAGACCTCTCGAGCCAAACTCCAGAAAGAACACACATTCTCTGTCCCCTGCTTTCCCAGGTCTAAGGCAGAGGCTGACTAGCAGGAGGGCCCGGTTCAGACAAACACTCGCTGCCACACTTACTTAGCCAAAACTTTGAATGGAATCTCTCTTCTCCTGGGCCTCCGCTTCTCGTCCTGCCAGACATGGGTTTTCCAGGCCTCCACCTGCAGAAAAGGAGGAAGCTGTGAGGCAAGGTGGCAGGGGAGGGCCAGGCTTGGCTGGGGTCGGAGATGCTGGAGAGCCAGGGGCCCCTTCAGAACATTCATGGGCTGGGAGGTGGGCAGGCCTTCTCCCATCCCACCTCACCTCGCTGAAAGCTGTATATGAGGCTGCATCTGTTTGTCCCCTCAGAGCTCTATCTCCAAGGCCAGGCATAAAGCCAGGCACATGAGGGTGGCCAATTGGTTTTTATTCTCATCAATGTTCATCTGGAAGGAAGAGGGCCCACTCTCTTTCATTTTTAGTATCTTATCAATGAGCAATGCAAGCCGTTAATACCCACGACTGCTAATGGAAAAGTTGGCATTCAAATCCACCCACAGGACCCTCAGAAGAAAAATCAGCTATTAACAACCCCGTGGAGCACAGTTCTAATCTGATACATATAGGGTCTCAATGAGCTGGAACCAGCTTGACAGCAACTGGTTATCACTAGGAAGATGGTAGAATGTATAGTCCATACCACGATACCTTCGAGAGTCAAAAAAGTGCTATTCAAGTGATGCCTGAGATGCAGGCAGAGACAATGACATGGAGCCATGGTGCAGCTGGGGACTTTAGATCCAGAGAGGGAGAGCGACTGTGTGCTGAAGACTGGGGGACGGGGGATAGTGTAGGGGGCAGGCTTGCAGGGTATACCCTTTGGCTGGTTGATGAAGCATGGAGGGGAATGCAACCATGGCAATGAAACGATATATGATAGAATGAATGTAAAACTAATGTTCTCCCATGTAAACTATCATATAATTCACAATAAAACATTAAAAAAAAAAAAAAGTGCTATTCAAACAGGCCCAAATCATCCTGGACAAGCCAGGATAAAGACTCACCTTACTTATCAACTTCAGAGCGGCAAAGCTTTTCTAAAAATTGAACCCAGATCTTTTGTGACAAAAAACAAACTTATTTGAATAGCTAACACGACAGTGTGCTTTCTGGGCTAAGCTGCTCTACACCAGCTCATGGGATCTGCATGGAGTTCCTTCCTGCCCCTTGCAGAGATGACAAAAACCTGCCGGAGATCATACAGCTAGAAAGTGGCAGAATCAAACCCAGGCGTGTCTGACTCAGCGGCCATGCTCATCCACATTATGCTGGCCCCTCCTGCGGCAGCAGGAGCAATGGTGTGCACCCTTGGAAGCTTAAATTCTGTTAGAGCAACAGGGCATTGATGGTGGTGGTTATGTGTTGTGGAGTTGATTCTGACTCATAGCGACCCTGTACAGGGTTTCTGAGGCTGTAAATCTTTACGGGAGCAGAAAGTCCCATCTTTCTCCCACAGAACTGCTGGTAGTTTCGAGCTGCTGTTCCTGAGGTTAGCAGACCAAGTCATAACCACTACGCTACTAGAGCTCCTTAGAGATACAATAAAAGGCAGTTCCTGAAGTCCCACCCTCTATGGAAAAGGGCAGAAGGTGTTCATTGTATTTAAGTGGGCCCAGACAACATTAAGAATCCATCCCATGTTCCCTGATCCTCCTCCCATATACCACACAAGCACCAAGACACACAAAGACAAATTCACACATGCACACTCAGACACACATATGTGCTCACACACATATATACATGTCTACATTTGAGACATTGTCTCTATATCTAGCTCCCAAGGGAAGGCGAGGAAAACCCTCCTACCTGATAATAGTAGAAAGGGGACAAGATATAGTTTAACATCTCCTGGTGAAACACAGGAGTGATGCTCCCTGAAATCGGGGGGACCAGCCAAATCCAGTCAGCCGGGCAGCCCCCGCGGGACCGGTATTCATTCTGCATGTACTTCATGAAGGACTCTGCAGCTGAGTGGTGGTCCATGATGGTCACATTCTGCTTCTAAATCAGAGGAAGGCAAAAAGGGGAGTTGAAGCAAGGGGCAGGGCATCAGCCAGCAGGCTGCAGGCCTTCCAGGGGGTGTGTGGGGACATGTGACAAGATTTAAAATGGAGGGAGGAAGCGCCTCCTGGCCCCACTTCACCTGCTGAATGTAAGTACTCATGGATGGCCTTTCCAGAACCTCTGGAGAAGCAAGCCCTGGGAACACTCTGGCCTCGATCAGCCCACAGGTTGCCTGGCGGCTTTACTCTTAGGACACAGTAAGTTTGCCTCCCCTTGGCCCTCTGGGGGCAGCTTCCAGCTTCTTCATTCATGCTCATAAGTCTCCCCAAACTCCCAACAAATGACTCTCTCTGGGTATTGATAATTGAAACACAGGCCCCTCCAGCAGGTAAAGACAAGAGATCTGAAGTACTGAGTGAAGGTAGGGTGTGGAAGACAAATCATTGCCCAAGCCCACACAATCAGACGCTGTGGAGTCCGAGCCTGACCAGAATGCATTGGCAAAGGCATCCGCTCTCTTCAATGTCTGGGACAGCTCATTCAGACAAAAGATACTTGTTTGGACACCCTGATGAGCCATATACCTCAGAGTTTTATTAACTCCAAACAATGGTTCCTGCCTCCTGAGGCTATTGAAAGGAAGCAGTAAGTTAATTCAAGCTAAGCATAGGAAGTGCTTAGTAACTGCTAGCTGCCATTATGATTCCTGTCTGCCAGGCACTGCATAAGGCATGGGCAATATAGAGGGGAAAGGCACAACAGATTTCAGTCTAACTAAGGGAAGCCGTGAGAGGCATCCGTAATCAAGGGGTAGAATTTTCATCTTCTTTGTGGGAAATCTGGGTTCAATTCCTAGCCAGTGCACCTTATTCCCAGCAACTACCTGTCTGTCAGTGGAGGTTTGTGTGTTGTTACGCTACTGAACTGGTGTTCAGCAAAACTTGCAGATTAAGACGACTAAATTAGAAAATGACTAACAAAGTACAAAGGTCCAATCTGCAACGGGTCAGATGGATGGTACAGGACGGGTGGCATTTTGTTCTTCTGTGGTGGGGTCTGCCTGAGTTGGACACTGACTCGAGGTCTGCTAACAATGGGAGAAGCAGGGAAAGCTTCTAAGAAGTAATACCTGAGGAAAGGGTTCGAGTTAGCCAGGACAAGGAGTCAAGGTCAGGAGGCACAAGACAGCCAGTGGACCAAGCGCCCAGTGTGCCCAGGCCTTTATTTAATTGGCCTTCTACCTTCCTCATTGATTTCATAGACATGCACAGTACCTCTAGTTTGAAGCTCTGGAGCTGGTGACAGTAGCTATGACAATGATGGGAACAGAAATGCTATTAATAACACTGTGACCAGGCAGTGTAGCTAAACCTTCCGCACGGCTTTTCATTTCATTTTACAATAACCTACTGAGGAACATCTTCTATTATTATTCCCATTTTACAGATGGAGCAACAAGGCCAAGTCTTTTGAAGATGATCCTTCTGAAGGCGGTGGCAAGGAAGTCCTGGAGAGCCTGGAGCAGGGGAGGGGCGTGGCAACGATGATCGGTGGAGTTATCTGGGGCACATCCGCATCCTGACAGTGTCAGGCCGGTGCCGGGAGTCCCCAGGAGTCAGGATGTGTGATCCAAGGCCAGCCCTTCCTGAGCTGGGCCAGCCCCAGTGGGGAGGGTCTTCCTGTCCTGTCTGAGTTTGTTCTCAGAGCCCCCACTCTTAGCTCCCATCCCTCAGGCCTGGGGAGTAGGTCCATCAGGCTCTCTTCTCATTTGCCAACTTGTCAGTTTCTTCACTAGCCATCTGTTGCCCAACATGGGGAGCTTTAAGCACCTCTAAACCTACTGCCCTTGAGTCGATTCCAGCTCATGGTGAGCCCATGTGTGTCAGAGGAGAACTTCATCACATTTTCTTGATTGTAATCTTTATGGAAACTGGTTGCCAGGACTTTCTTCTGTGGTGCCACTGTGTGCGTTCAAACCGCCAACCTCTAGATTAGTGATTGTGTACAAACTGTTTATACCACCCAGGGGCTAAAGCATCTCTTATGTCTCTGAAACACATTCAGCTCAACCGGCTGCTGTTTAAAGACGCAGGGTAGTTAAAAGTCTCCAGGAGCTTGCTCATGGGAAGCTTGCTCATGGGGAGCCTGCTCCTGTGAGAGTGTGGAAATTCCCAGGGCACCTGGAGCTCTGCCCTTGGATAGGCAATCAAGCCGATCTGCTAAGCCAGAGACCCCTTTGGTCATTATTAGCTCCATTTTACAGGTGAGGAAACTAAGTTTAAGGAAACAACCTAACTCGCCGGAGTTATGGGAACGGATCATCAAACCCAGCTCTGTCTAGCTCCAAAGCCCACACACATTTGCTTCCACCAAAGGAAAAACCCAAACTGCCTGCCAAGGGGTCTACAGCCTAGTGTTCACCATCTGTGACGTCTCTTGCTCTCCTGTATTAAGCTCATACAACACATTTCATTTCAGAGGAGAGAATTCGGCAACACTTTGATTCCTCTAAGTAACTGTCTTATTCATTCCATACAAATGTAAGAGCTCCACATAATTAACTATGATTTCCTTTTCACTCTGACCACCAGGAAGCTCAAATATAATACAACAACAACACAAAATAAAGTATTTTTAAATTAAGGATGTTGTTGGGTGTTGTCACGTGTACAGAGTAGGAGCCCCCCATAGGGCTTTCTTGGCTGTCATCTTTACAGAAGCAGATGGTCAGACCTTTCTTCCACAGAGTCCCTGGAAGGACTTGAACCGTCAATCTTTCAGTTAGCAGTCAAGAGCTTACTGATTGAGCTTGTCATGGTGCTAAGTGCCCTCAAGTCGGTTCCAACTCATAGGACCCTGTATAGGGTTTCTGAGGAGTGGCTGGTGAGTTTGAACTGCTGACCTAGCTGTCTAGTGCTGACCCTACAATGCCACACCAGGACTCCAACTATTGCGCTACCAGGCTCAAATTAAAGTTTCCATAGACAAGTTGGAGTCCTGGTGTAGCACTATGGAATAAAGCACTGGACTGCGATGTTGCTTTGAACCACAAAGTTAGCGGTTCAAACTCACCAGCTGCTCCTTGGGAACCCTATACATGGTCGCTATGAGACATAACTGACTTGATGGTACTTAACAACAACAACAATAGACAAAATCAGTTATTCTCTGATTATATGACAATCTAAGAGAAGATGGGGCAATGTGGTCTGAGCTGTAGGCACACTGGGTCTCTGTTTTTCCATCTATAAGATGCCACTTTCTATATAGAGCAAAGGTAACTGTTCCAGGAGAGGCTTTCATTCATTTCTCTGGTGAGGTTCACACCAAGTGTGCTGTGAGCAGTGGGCTGGGGATAATGGTAGCCTTGGGCTTGAGAAGCTTCAGATCTTTCAGCTCCACATACAGTCTGAGAAACAATACCAACCTTGCACGCACGCAGAAAATCAGCAATTTGATCTTCTAACCGAAAAGCCTTTACATTCACAAAACCTCAGACGTACCTGGAAACTGTGGAGCACAGCGATGTTGATCTCAATAACCGCCCGGTCTTTCCAGAGGGAGGCCAACTTGTGTGTTTCCAGGCCCATCCTTCTGCCCACTTCCTGTAGAGGCAGAGACATGGGCCTGAGTCCGTCCTTTCGACCTGCCCCCAAACCCACACCTCCAGCTGGCTCAGGGAGGCGGCCTTTGTTACCTCTAGGATGTTGTAGCGCTGGACATCACAGAAGTCCCGGACCCCAATCTCGGTGCCCATGTACCAGCCATTGAAGGGGCACCCTGGGAACTCAAGGCCACCCACCTCGAGCAGCATGTTGGCCACAGCAGGCAGGGCATACCACTTCAGCCCCAGCTCCTGAAACCATTCGTACCTGGAGGGAGCCAGAGCCAGCTGCAATTGGAACTTTCACATTTACCCACAACTCCCCTCAAAAAAAGTTCTTTAGAAAAGAGTCAACCGAGAAAACTGTTCTCTGTTAATCCTACCTGAGGTAATCAGAAACACTCTCATTTATGCATGTATTAATTCACTCATTTGTTCATGAGAACATATATTAAGCATCAAATAGGTGCCAAGCCCTGGGCTAAATGCTGAGAATCCAACATAACATAATAGCTCTGGACTCTAGAGTCATCCTGGGTTCAAATCCAGCCTTATCACTTTTTAGCTGTGTGACCCTGGAATGTTGCTTAGTTTCTTTATCAGAAAAACAGGTATAATAGCATCAAACTCGAGGGATTCTTATGAAGATCAAGGAGCTAATTCATATTCACTCAATTTTATGAGGGGGCTTCAAAACATTTGTGGGGAAACTTCATTATCTTTTAATTCCATTTGTCTATGAACTTTTTGAAGTCTTTTCATATATTCACTTATCCCACAAATATTTACTCAGAACCTACTATGTGTGGTACTGAGAGTTAATGTGCTGGACTGCAAGGTTGGTGGCTCAAACTCATCAGCCGCTCCTCAGAAACCCTATACAGGGTTGCCATGAGTCGGGACCAACTTGACAACACTTAAGAACAACAACAACATCAACAACTACTGTGTAGGTATTCAGGTAGCTGTTGGGGATATGGGTGAACAAGAAAGGCAAGATACCTATCCTCAGGGGACTGAGAGTCTAGCGTATAGGCTCTAGAATATGAAAAGGTAAAATAATAAATAAGCAAGAAAAGAAAATAAGGTGATGTGCTAGACAAGGGTGGGCAGTCAGGAGAGGCTTCTTGAAGGAGATGACATTTTAGGAAATCTCTCATTGACAAGAAGCTGTGAACCAGGCAATCCTCAGAGAGAAGGGCATGTGAGCAGATGGCACAGCCAATACAAAGACCTGAAGGATGGAATTCAGCATCTTCAAGGGACGAAACATCCAGCCCAGTGCTTGGTGCAAAGTAAGTCTCAGTGTATGTAACTATGAGAGCTGCCTGGAGCGGGCTGCGCTGGATTAGCTCTTGAAATGGGAGCTCTATGATCCCACTATCGTCAGGAGAGGGGCAGCTAAGGGAGTCCGTGGGAGGGCAGAGACCTAGGCAGCTCAGCATGAGAGCCAGGAGTCTTTCTAGACTTCTTCTCCAGAGGCCACTGCTTCCTACATGCTAAGGCTCATCTATCTGAGCCTCTGCCTCCCCTCGCCGTCCACACATCCTCTTAGTCAGGAGGCCTGATGTGGAAGCACAGACTCCCTGTACAGAGCAAGGAAGTCAGGTAGGTGTGGAAGTGGGGCCCTTCAGGTGTCACTGAGGCTGCCTGGATTTGGAGGCAGCCAGGAAACGCAGTGGCATGCCTGTCCACCTCTTCCAGCATGCCCAGCCCACTTACTTGGGATGCTCCATCGGCACCTCGAGTACAAGGTCGGGTGGAATTTCGAAGAGCTCAGGGTCACAGCCATTGGCCTGCAGGACCAGAGGCACGACGTCGAAGCGGCCATACTTGGGTTTCCAGCCCAGGTCAATGCATAGCTGGGGAGAAAGCCAGGTCCAATGAGTTCCCAAGACTCAGGCACCCTAAATCCTCCCGGCTCTTTCTGTCACCCATTGCCGACTGGGTACCTGCGTGAACTCCACAGAGGCAGGGTCTCCTAGGACGGTGCCATCAGGCATCTGGTAGCCAGCATACCGGATGAGCTGAGCATTCCACACACGGAAGTCATGCTTCCCATCGCTCCTCTGGGGGAACACTGTGATGGCCGACCTTCGCCAGGACAGGACAGTGTGGTTTACAATGTGACCCTGTGTGTGTGGGGGTCCCTGCACCCCCCCCCCCCCCCACACACACACTGGCCCCACCAGCAGCTTCCCAGCAAGCCAAGCTCTTTCTGGCCTGCATGTAGCCTTCCCCTGACATATTCTCTCCCTCTCCCACCTTTCTCCTCTAGCACCTACCCTTCCTTCAAGAGACATCCACTCTAGGAAACCCTCCCATCTCTCAGGTGGGTGAGCAGGCCTTCCACAGTCTTTCCCTAGCTGCGCATTTCTTGTCTTGCAGTGAATTAGGTGAATGCTTGGATTCATAGAGGGCTGAAACAGGGTCCTGCAATCTTACTCATCTCTGCAGCCTTCCTATGCACCTCCCTTTACCAGCCCTGTGTTGGATCCCCATCAGGTGGGCACTATGTGTTTGCTGGACAAAGAATGAATGAATAGAAAATGAGCTGTTCAACTGTGGCTTCTATGGATGGCAAGTGGGGTGGGGTGCGCTGATGGGCAATGAGTTGCCAATCTCTAAGAAAAGCGCCGTCAAGAATCATCTGCTGGAAAACCAACCTCCCATCCACCCCCAAAAGCAAAGAGCCCAAACTCTGAACAGCGAAGGTCCCCCATCTCTTCCAAGTGGCTACAAGTTGGAAGGAAACCAGGAACGGGATTGTGGCCACAGCCTAAGTTCATGGGGGCTCAGCTCACCATTAGGGGCCCCTGAAGAGGCCAGTGTCTTTCTCCTTTCCCTTTCTCCATTTTCTCCTGGAATCTGAGATGCCTCCCCACTAAACCCACTTGCATTTTATGGCTAAGACTCTAGGGTAGTTGGGTACCCACCTGATGTTGCCCTGGTTGGTGGCAAAACGCAAATGTCTGCAGATGTGCTCAAACATTTCCTTGGCAGTGGTACAGCTCCGGGCATCAAAGACCTGCGCACACCCCACCGGGACCAAGCCCATCAAAGACTGTGTGAACAGGGTCCTCTGGTCTAACTATGAGCTAAGAAATCACCAAGGACTGAATGGAGCAGTTTGAACACCCAACACCCAAACATCTGGTGAAAAACCAGTTGCCACTGAGTGGCTTCCAACTCATGGCAGCCCCTTGTGTGTCAGAGCAGAACTGTGCTCCATACAGTTTTCAATGGCTTTTCTTCTGACGTGCCTCTGGGTAGCCTCAACCTCCAGTCTTTTGGTTAGCAGCCAAGCGCATTAACTGTTGGCACCACCCAGGGATACCTTTCTGACCAACAACTCTCTCTCATCTTCTCCTGCCTTCCAAGGTAAATATACTTGGAAGGATCCAACAAAAAAAACAAAATCCCAATGAACTCTAATTTTAAAGTGCCATAAATCAAGATTCCCACAGCCCCAGTCTAGCTGCTTTGTAACAGGCAAGCACATCGTAAGCTGGTCTCTGGCATCACGGACACAGCCAGATTTGGTTTCATTGGTATGTCCAATCAATTTCTCTGTCGAGTGCTGTCTACTTTATCCAACAATAAACAATCCCAGTGCAGAGATGGCCTAGGAGCTAGGATAAATAAAATGTTCTCTAAGAGCTAAAAATTCAAACACTTAAGGCAAACAACCTCACTCGTGCCACCAGGGCCTCAATAATAGTAGAAACAAGGTTGGTTGGCTTTTTTGGATGGTGCTTAGTCCCCCAATTTTAACACAAGATAGAAATATCAGCCAGAAATCCTGGTGCTGAAATAGGATTCTAGACATCAAAAATAAAAAATAAAAGAAAAAATTTTAAGTTACTATCAAGTCAATTTTGATTCATAGTGACCCCATATGTGTCAGAGTAGAACTGGTCTCCATATGGTTTTCCACAATCAGATCACCAGGCCTTCTTCCAAGACACCTTTGGATGAACCTGACTCTCCAACCTTTCAGTTAGCAGCCAAGTGTGTTGACTGTTGGCACCATCCAGGGACCTTCATACATCTAGAGGTGCCCACTAATTCCAGCACACGTTGAGGGGTGTGAAGAGAGAACTCAGGGCTCCGGGCACCTCTGGCCTCTGGGCTCAGCTCTGCTTGGCTGTTTTGAGTCATCTCTTCAGGGCCTGCCCACCTCTCCAGCTCCCGCTTCCATTTGGGTACAAGGAAGTTTACCTGTAGGTTGGACCACTGGATCCTCCCGATGCAGCGGGGGGCATTGCGCCAGGCCAGCTTGGAGGCAAAGATGAGCTCATCCCCCGTCAGTTGGTAGGTTCCTGTTGTTTCGATCTCCTTTGTTACTGCTTCCACCCTGGCCAGATGTTCCTCTATTTTTGCCCTGGGGGACAGGAAGACATCAGGAAGATCAACAATGAGATGGCTTTAAATGGGGATTAATGCAATCCACAGAAGCAGGAACTGAGGGCAAGATGTCTCCACTGAAGTCTTTTTTTTTCCTGTCAGGGCTGACTTCCAGTTACCTGTGCAGTCATACAGAAAAAGCCTCGTGCTTAGAAGGGTCTCATGCTTGGTTTATGTTCCATTAAAGTTGTTTAACAAAGAACATAACTTTTCATTTTGCACTGGGCCCTACAAATTGCATGACCAGCTCTGGCCCTCTGAGAACACTGGTATTTCCAAAAACCTTTTCTTTAACCATCTATCCATCCCAGCGTGAGCAGGAGCAGACACCTGCAAGACTAAGATGAACTGCCCACAGTGCTTTCCCCCTGAGTAGCGGAGTGCCTGTCCACCTTCTCATTGTTCACAGGGCCAGCCACACAGCAGCTATTGTGGACCAGTGCTTACTATGACTCAGGGGTCTCACTGAGTTTGTGAGGGGGGTATTCTTGCACTCATTTTACAGCCAAGGGTATTGAGGCTCTAGGAGGTTGTATACTGAGCCCAGGAACATCGGCCTGGCCAAGAACAGAGCAAGGACTCAGACCCAGCCGCCCTCATGTGAAGCCCAGGTGTGCAATACCACTTCCCGCTCCACATGAGTGTCCACTTAGGTTTTCTTGGGAACCTAGTCAGGCCGCCCTGGATCCCAGCTCTGGGGACTCAGAGACCGGCCCAGCAAGGTCTCACAACGTGGTCAGACACCACAGCTCCTAAATTATGCTGGTTCTTATCCTCAGCACAGGACCGCACCTCCAGCAATCCCATATGAAGTTTGTCAACTTGTTTCTCCTCTCCCCTCCCAGGCTTTGAAATCTCCCCAAAGGAAGAATTCAGTCAGAAAGGCTTTGAAATGCGCACCCGTGCGCGCGCACGCGCGCGCGCGCACACACACACACACACACACACACACACACACACACACACACACAGAGCAACCTTGAGATTTCCAATCACCACCAAAGACTTTTGAAATGGCAACAAACTATTTAAGGAATGAACTTCTGATTAAGGGCAGTGGAAAACTCAGAACAAAATGGCCTTTCTGTGGATGAAGAGTGTCTTGACATCTTGATTAAAAGAAAAACAGCATGAAGACAAAACACTTGGTGGTATTTATCCTCAAGGACACCCCTGGCCTAAAGAACTGCTGGGCAGGGTGAGGTCGCCTCACTGCTGGAAACTCTGTCTCCCCAACAAGCATCTACCAATACTGCACCCCGCTCTGCCCCTGAGCCTGATCACACTGGGAGTTGGAGCACAGTTATGGAGATGTGTTAATAACAGGAAGATATAAAACAATGATTTTGTGTATGTGTATTTGTACCTAATTCCTTTTGAGTTTTATATTTTATCACTGTTTACATAAAGTCACATTTCTAAGGCACTAAAAAAGTGTTCTGAGGAGTTCCTGGATAGTGCCAACAGTAATGTGTTTGGCTGTTAACCAAAAAGTTGACAGTTTGCATCTACCCAGAGGTATCTCAGAAGAAAGGCATAGTGATCGGCTTTCAAAATATCAGTCATGAAACCCTATGGAGCACAGTTCTACTGACACACATCGAGTCTCCATGAGTTGACTGACTTTTTTACATTCCGTAAACCTGATGCTGTTAGTTCCAATTCATAGCGACCCTACAGGATAAAGTAGAACTGCCCCATACAGTTTTCAAGTTTTTACAGAAGCAGACTGCCACATCTTCGTCCTGTAGGGTGTGATAGGTGGATTTTATTGGCTAATCTTCCAGTTAGCAGCGGAGTAGTTTAACCAGCACATTACCAGGACTCCTTGTAAATTATATTCATATTCTATTTGGCCAACAGTTGTTTTAAACACACATTGACAGCTAGTTCTTCTGCAGTGTTTACTACAGGCCAGGCCCAATACCTAGCATGTTAGATACTTTAACTAATTGAATCTTTATAAATCCCTATATGGTAGATATTATAATCCAAGCTCTATTATTAGCATTCCCATTTTACAGATGAGAAATGTCAGGCACAGAGAGGCTAAGCAGATTTCCCAAGGACACAGGACTAGTTAATGGTAGAACCAGGATTCAAACTCCCAATACTGCTGTGCCTATGTGTCCCACAATTATGAGAACCTACTCCGGGATTGTTTTCTTTGGAAAACTACGTTTTAGCCCTGGAACTACTGGAAATCCGGGAAGGACATGGGACTAGGTTCAGATGGAAATGGTTGGAGACAGGGGGAACACAGTTGGAGAGATTGCAGGAAGCAAGCCTTACTCTTTGAAGGAACTGTAATACTGGTTGACAAATTCAATAGCTTGAGGTAGAAGTTCATCTGGCGGAGTAGGCTTATCCCTTGGTCCTCTGATTAAACTTTTAGGGTTCATAAGAGCCCCCAGACAAGACTTGGATTTGCAAGCAACACTCTGGAAAGAGAAAGCATGAGGTGAGAGCAGATCCTTTGGCCTATAAGGGCAGGTGTTCACAGGTATCCTCCCCCAGGGGCCATGCTCCTCCACTGCGGCTGCTGAGCTCCCCACCCCTGTGGCACCTCCTTCTTGGGGTCCACCAGGCTTTCTCCCAACCCAGGTGACTTCTCCTCTATTGACTGTACCCCAGTGGGTGTGAATTGAGGTTGGTCCTCCCACTCTGGGCCTCAGTCTCTGGCGCTGCTCCCCAGTCAGCCTCAGACTCAGAGCAAAGTCATCAGCTCAGTCCCTGGTAACAGCTCAACTACCTTCTCATTTAAAGAGGCTGAGGTTGCCTCTTGTGGGAACACACTGTTGGTGCTCAGCAAAAATTAATAGGAATGAGCAGGTGCAAATCCCAGCCATGGGATGGTATACCCAAAGGCTAACCATGGTTACTGGAAGGTGTGGCAAATCATCCTGCTTTTATGGTCTTGAAAGGTTTGATGTTTTTCTACTTTAAAACCATAGAATGCAATCTAAAGTCAAAATAAGAAACTTTGGAGAACAGGAAGAAGCCTTAAAGACACATAGTTTTCAGTCTCCTTAATAAAAAGCATTTGAATCCTTCTACAGACAGGGAGCTCACTACCTCATAATGTAGTTCAGTCCAGCTTTGGGCACTTCTGTTGGAAAATTCTTCCTGATACTACGCTGAAATCTGTTTGTCTAAGAAAGATGTTAATTTATACCTGTAATAGTTTACCACTAGGGTGATTAATAGAGAGTTGACACCATTTACTTTCTACTGTAATTTGCAAGGAATGTAAGTTCTCAACTCTGTTTGCCCAAGCAGACAATGATCTGCCCTGAGATGGGGCATCCGTTTGGACTGCAAAGGGCCCCAATGACGTCACCAGCCAAGGACAAGGTAGTTCTCCCCTAAGACCCAGACTTCTCACCCCGCTGGCCTTGTGGTGGAGTGTATCCTGAAGGGTCATCCCACTGCCCCAGTTTTTGATCTTCGTGTGTCGTGGGCAGGCTGATGGGAGCGTGTCCAGCTTGACCCGGGATCCTGGGGACTTCTCAGAAGTAAAAACAACAATAGAGTTTTCCAGATGTTTCAAACCCCAGCAACCCACTCATCTCTCTCAATTCTGAGCCACACTTTGGCTTTGGGCTAGGGTGGGGAGCTGTGGGTGGGCACACATGCCCTCAGCCACCTGAACAAGTGCCTGCTAAGAGCTCACCAAACCAACCCAAACCAAACCCATTGCAAGAAAGTCGATTCTGACTCTTAGTAACTCTGTAGAACAGAGCAGAATGACTCCATGGGGCTTCCAAGGTTGGAAATATTTACAGAAGCTGGCTGCCACATCTTTCTCCTATGGAACAGCTAGTAGGTCTGAGCTTCCAACCTTCTGGTTAGCATCTAAGACCCAGCAGGACTCCTCTCCTCACCCAGGTTCCTGATTCCACAGAGGAACTGAAGCAGAGGGACTAGGTTTAGATGTGAGGGACACTGCTCTCACATCCAAGAACTGAAACCAGGACAAGGAAGAAGGTACCACTGCCTTCCCTGGAAACACGTAAGAACACGAAAACCATCTCATCTCCCACCTCCCCCCACCTCTCTGCCCACCATTCAGGTGGAAAAGCACTTAGGAAAGATGGGGCTGGGACCACAGGGATTATTTTGGAGTGGCTCTGGTTCCATGAACAGTCTGAGATCACTCCCCAACCCCGACTAGTACCTGCTAGCCCACACAGGTGTCAGCAGACCTTGGGAGCCATCACTCCTGACCACTGTGGATCACCCTGCTAGCCTATCATCCTTCCTCACTGCCACCCACCCCCGTGCCTCCCACCCAGGGCTCTACACTTTCTCGACTTTCCAGCCCAGCTGGCACCAGGCTGCGCAGTCTGCATCTGTCTGGGAATGGGGGAAGGGGATTCCCAAATTCCCGTGGCCTGCTGACCTGTACAGTCCCCGTGAGGGGTGGAGAGGATTCATTCCAGGGCTTGCTGAGGCCATGATGCTTGGTGTCATCCTGTGTCGCGGGACTGCAAAAGGAAACAGATATCATGAGAACTAGTATCTGAGAGCCCAAAGGGATCTTGGGGTCTTCCCAGCCAGCACCCTAATTTTTTTCTAATTTTTGCTGTTGTTGTTGAGAATATATACTGCAAAACATACACCTATTCAACAGTTTCTATGTGTACCATTGAGTGGCATTGATTACATTCTTAGGGTTGTGTGACCATTCTCACCCTCCTCTAAGCTGTTTATTCTTCAACAACAAAATCGCACCACCCTCTAAGGCTCCTGCTAAACTTCTGAATCCTCAGTACTCTCAACTGATAGATGGGGAAACTGAGGTCCAGACACAGGGAGTGAATTGCTCATGGACCCATGCTAAGTCAGAGGCAGAGCCAGAGCCAGAAGCTGTGGTCACGTGTCTCAGTTTCTAGGCAGGGAGGGTTTGTATGTGGAGGTGGGCTGGTGGGGGGCAGTTGTTCACACCAAATTTCTCCACCACTGCTGCCCTCCTCCTTTCTTTTCATCTCCACAAAGAAAAAAGGTATGAGGGGAACTGAGTCAAAGCTACCGGCCCAAACCCAACCTCTGGGAAGAGGCAGCCCTTCAAAAGCCAAGCACAAATGTGAGACAGGGGTGAGTGGGCTGAGAACAGACCCCACCACTCTGCCCACCCAGGCCAGAAGCCGTGCCGCCTGCCACCTCTAGCATTTAGTGACTTCAGCTGTTTTGTTAATTTGCTGTTGAGAAGAGTCCAACTCACGACAAGCTGCACATGTGCAAAGTGGAAGTGCTCCATGGGATTTACAAGGCAGAAGCTGACCACCAGGTCTTTCTCTCAAGTAGATGCTAGGTCCACTCACATAGCCACCCTTCTTGCTAGCCATTGTTGTTAAGTGCCGTCGAGTCAATGCTGACCCCTAGTAACCCTGTACAGGGTTTCTGGGGAGCAGCCGGTAGGTTTGAACTACAGACCTTGTGGTTCACGGTCCAGTGCTGACCCTAGAGTGCCACACCAGAAGTCTTGCTAGTAGTCAAGAGTTTAATCATTTGCACCACCTAGGGACATCTACTTTTTAATATGGGAAAATTTAAACATACAGAAGTAGAAAGAAGGGTGTAATCATGACCTTTCCACTCAGATGCAGCCCAATGAACAGTTATGAACTTCTGCCTACCTTGTTTCAATTCTACCCCGCAACACCGTTGTTATGTTAAAACAAATACAATACATGATTTATATCCACAAATATCTCAGTAATATTAGCGAAAGATAAAGACTTTGAAATATATTGTTGTTGTTTTTGTTAAGTGCCATCAAATCCGTTCAACCCATAGTAACCCTGCATAGGGTGTCCAAGGAGCAACTGGTAAGCTTGAATCTTGCTGTTTAAACTGACATTGCAGTCCAGTGCATTAACCCTCAGCGCCACACCAGAACACATATATGGGAAAGATGAGGCTTTCTGCTCCCACAAAAAAATGTTTAAATCTTGGAAACCTTATACAGGGTTGCTATGAGTTGGAATCAACTTAAAGGCACTTCACAACAACTACACGCACACACAACACATACAAGGCAGAGTAAAAAAAATTATCCACAGTCCGGTTATACTAAAATGCCTGTCGACATCCACTGCTAATGACAACATTGAGCGAGCGCGTGGAATGACTCTGTCGAATAGACGAGTGACAGTGGATTATGTGGCAAATCATTTGTAAATCAGCCATGGCTCTGCCTATGGAATACTCCACGACAGACTTGGGTTTCGTAAAGTTTGTGCGAGATTATTACCGAAACAACTCACAGAAGAGCATAAACAGACATGTTTGGACATCTGCAAAAACAATTTGGACCAATACTCGAAGGAAGGTTAAAGTTTCTTTTAAAAAATCCTTACTGGTGACGAGACATGGATTCATCACTACAAGCCTGAGAGTAAACAGCAGAATATGGAATGGAAACATCCTCAATCGCCAACCAAGAAAAAGTTCAAACGTCAACCATCAGCAGGAAAACTGATGCTTACAATTTTCTGGGACTCTCAAGGGACAATAATGGAACACTATCAGGAAAAAGGTTCAAAATCAACAGTGCTCATTACAGTGAGATGCTCACTGAAGAGCTGAAGCCTAAACTTTGGATTTAAACGCAGAGGACTAAGGCATTGTGATCTTGCATGACAATGCACATCTGTACACCTTTGCCCATACTGTTGACATTCTGCAACTGCTGACACCTCTGATGAAGTGAAGCAGAGGTGTATTCATGGCTCACGGCTCAGCCTAAAACATTTTAAAAAAGTAAATATGAAAGCTTGTTGACAGATGGACAAAGTGTATTGAGCAGCAAGGAAATTATGTCAAAAAATGATGTATTTATCTTTTTAAAAAGCTGATTAAAATTAATTCTACAAAGTGTAGATAATTTTTGACTCACCCTCATGTGTGTGCCTGATAGTCAAATATATATATGTATATATAACATATTGTTGTTAAATGCCTTCGAGTTGGTTCCAACCCATAGCAAACCTGTATATGGTTTCCAAGGAGCGGTTGGTGAGCTTGAACCACCAACCTTGTGGCTCAAACCGACTTTGCAGTCCAGTGCATTAACCCACAGCATCATCCCAGGACTCCATAAAACTTTTATGGAGTCAAAAACTTTGCTTTGGGGGAGTGTAGAGGACTTTAAAGTACTTACTGATGAAGATCAAAGACTACAGTATTGATTGAGCTCAATATAAAGCTCACATAAAACATATATGTATATGCTTTTTGGGGTCCTGGTGTTGTACTGTTGGATAAACACTGGACTGTAATTGCTAAGTCGGTGGTTCAAACCCATCAGCCACTCCTCAGAAGCCTTATACAAGGTCACTACGAGTCAGAACTAATTCAATGGCACTTAACAATAGCAATAAAAGTAGAAGCTTACATGGAGAACCAATTAATACAACTATTGTTCAAATTCTATGAATTTATTCAGTCTGAAATTGATCAAATGTGCAGTGAAGATGCATTGATAATTACTGGTGATTAGAATGTGAAGCTGGAAACAAAGAGGAAAGACAGGTAGTTGGAAAATAGCCTTGATGATGGAAACAATACTGACAATCACATAATAGAATGTTGCAAGACCAACAATGTATTCATTGCAAATACCATTTTTCAATGACATAAGCAGCAGCTACACACATGAACCTCACCAGATGGAACACATAGAAATCAAACTATGTCTGTGGAAAGACATGATGGAAAAGCTTAATATCATCAGCCAAAACAAACCCAGGAGCCAACTGTGTAACAGACCATCAACTGCTTGTATGCAAGTTCAAGTTGAAGCTTAAAGAGATCAAAACAAGTCCATGAGAGCCAAAATATGACCTTGAGTATATCCCATCTCAAGAATAGATTGGATGCATTAGACACTAATAACTGAACACCAGAGGAGTTGTGGGGTGACATCAAGACCATCACACATAAAGAAAGCAAAAGGTCATTAAAAAGACAGGAAAGAAAGAAAAGACCCAAGTAGATGTAGAAGAGACTTTGAACTTGCTCTTGAACATAGAGAAGCTAAAACAACTAGAAGAAATGATGAAGTGAAAGAGTTAAGCAAAACGTTTCAAAGGGTAGCTCAAGAAGACAACGTAAAGTATTATAATGAAATGTGCAAAGACCTAGAGTTAGAAAACCAAAAGGGAAAAACACGCCCAGCATTTCTCGAGTCTAAAGAACTGAAGAAAAAATTCAAGTTTGGACTTGAAATACTGAAGTCCAAACTATGAGCAAAATATTGAATGATGCAAGACCCATCTAAAAAAGGTAGAAGGAACACAAAAAGTCACTGAACCAAAAAGAATGAGTCGATGTTCAACCATTTCAAGAGGCAGCATATGATCAAGAACCAATGGTACTGAAGAAAGAAGCTCAAGTTGCACTGAAGGCATTGGTTAAAAAAAAAAACAACAAACTAACAAAAAACAAGGCTCCAGGAATTGATGGAATACAAATTGAAATATTTCATCAAACCGATGTAGCACTGGAGGTGCTCACTCATCTGTGCCAAGATATTTGACCAGCTGATTAGAAGAGATTCATATTTGTGCCAATTCCAAAGAAAGGTGGCACAACAATGCAGCAATCATTGAATAATATCACTGATATCACATACAAGTAAAATTTTGCCACTGATCATTAAAACACGGTCGCAGCAATACTTCAACAGAGAGTGTCCAGAAATTCAAGCTGGATTCAGAAGAGGACATTGAATGAGACATATCATTACTGATGTCAGATGGATCTTGGTATAAAGCAGACAAAAACAGAAAGATGTTTACTTGTACTTTATTAACTATCCAAAGACATTTGACTGTGTGGATCATAACAAACTACGTATAACATTGGGAAGAATGGGTATTCCAGAACACTTAATTGTGCTCATGAGGAACCTGCACTAAGAGGTAGTCATTTGAACAAGGGGATACTGAAAGGATTAAAATCATGAAAGGTGTGTGCCAAGATTATATCCTTTCACTTATTCAGTCTGTTTGCTGAGCAAATAATCCAAGAAATTGGATTTTATTAAGAAGAACGTGGCATCAGGATTGGATGAAGACTCATGAACAACCTGCCACATGTACATGGCATAACTTTGCTTTTAGGGAATGTAGAGGACTTAAAGTACTTACTGATGAAGATCAAAGACTACAGTACTGATTGAGCTCAATATAAAGAAAATGAAAATCCTCACAATTAGACCAGTAAATAGCATCATGACAAATGGAAAAAAGATTGAAGCCGTCAGAGAATGCATTTTCCATGGATCCTCAATCAACAATCATAAAAGCAAAAGTCAAGAAAACAAGCAATATACTGCATTAGGCAAATCTGTTACAAAAGAATTTTTTAAAGTGTTAAAGAGCAAAGATGTCACTCTGAGGACTAAAGTGAACCTAATCCAAGCCA